TGCATAGTGTTCCATTGCATAAATATTCCACAATTATTTTATACCCTCATGTACTGGTGGGCACATGATCTATTTCCAGCACTTGACTATTGTAAATAGTGCTGCAATGAAGAGAGGGGTGCATAATTTCTTTTGAATTGGTGAATCAGGATTCTCAGACGTATACCCATGGGAGAGGGGGATTGAAAATTGTGGAGGAGAGAAAAGAGGGATAATTGAAAAAACTGTAAGGAAATACGAATACAAAGTGAAGTCACACACACACACACACAAACACACACACGCACACACAGAGCCAGGCGTGCTGTTGATGGGTGGAGCTGTCCACGACCTAGTGCTGAATGGTGCACCACATCTGGGGATTCACGTACAAAATAGGACAGAATCAGGGGAGATGCAGGTGGTCAACAATTTTGAGGGAAGCCTTCTAGACACACATGTACATTCTTGTTCAAATCTGAACTTGGCCTGGGTCAGAAGTACCTCTGGACAATAGAGGAGATGTCCTGACTTGGGGATTCTGTGATGACTTTTGTGAATTTACGTTACAGTATCAGATTTGTGCTCTTCTTACATTAGGAAAAACGGTAAAGTCTCAGTGGGCATTTTTATAGCAGAACTTTGGATGATTTTGTTTTTCAGTTGTTAAAGTGAAGCTGAAGAGACAAAATCACAGGATGTGGTGGGCAGGGTCCCCACACCACAGTGTGTACTGTGCAAGGTGTCAGTCACACAGGAAGAGGACCAGCTCTGCTCACCCTAAAAATAGCAGGTGCTGAGGGGCTGACCTGAGCCACATCACTCAACACCGCTAGTGTCTAAGCTGTCACATTTAGTTTTCCTAAGCTCTATAATCATAGGAGTATTTTGACTGAGCTAGGTGTTATTGGAAAGTCATAACTATCATTCAATTTATAATATTCAATGTTCCCTGACAAAGCTAATACAAAAAATAGTTAATAATATAAAATAATTTTCAGGAGAAATATGAAATTCTTTCATCTAATATTAATTAGGTCTAGTACCACTTGCATATTTTTGTAGTGTGCTACAAAAAGAAAGCAGTTATCTGGGCAGTTTACCTCTGCATTTTTAGAAGAGAAGAAAACTTGCAAAGTCTTGTTTTAGCTGAACTCATTTGTTGTATATAAGTAAAAACCCAGTTCCTTCTTTTTCTATGGAGGGAGGGAGGGAGGGAGGAAGGGAGGAAGAGAGAGAGAGGAAGAAGGAGAAGGAGGAGGAGGAGAGGAGAGGAGGGAGAGGAGGAGAAAAGGGAAGGGGAGGGGAAGGAAGGAAAAGGAAGTGAAGGGAAGAAAAGGGAACTTGGTAAAGTTGTTACAACAAATTACAACTAACTGTATGGATTCAGACAATAGAATTTTTTATTGTTTCAGAACTATAAGCCAGACAGATAATTGAGACAGGGAGATAGGTAGATGAAAAAATGAGTTGACAGATAGATGAATAAATAGATAAATAGAGAGGTAGCAAGACTGATGCACAGATACATAATCACTCAGATAGTAGGTAAATGGATAGATAGGTAGATAGATTTTCAAACCTTCCAATGTGTGCTATCATCAGATCACATTATTTTTTATTTTGCTCTAGGTAAGTTTTTTTAAATATATTTTATTGATTATGCTATTACAGTTGTCCCATTTCCCCCCTTCACTCCCCTCCACCCTGTACACCCACTCCCACCCACTCCCCCCTTTTAGTTCATATCCATGTGTCATACTTATAAGTTCTTTAGCTTCTACATTTATCATACTATTCTTACCCTCCCCCTGTCTATTTTCTACTTACAATCTATGCTACTTATTCTTTGTACCTTTTCCCCCTCTCTCCTCCTCCCACTCCTCTGTTGCTAACCCTCCATGTGATCTCCATTTCTGTGGTTCTGTTCCTGTTCTAGTTGTTTGCTTAGTTTCTTTTGGTTTTGCTTTAGGTGTGGTTGTTAATAATTGTGAGTTTGCTGTCCTTTTACTATACATGTTTTTTTTAATCTTCTTTTCTTAGATAAGTCCCTTTAACATTTCATAAAATAAGGGCTTGGTGATGATGAACTCCTTTAACTTGACCTTACCTGAGAAGCAATTTATCTGTCCTTCCATTCTAAATGAAAGCTTTCCTGGATATAGCAATCTGGGATATAGGTCCTTGTCTTTCATGACTTGGAATACTTCTTGCCAGCCCCTTCTTGCCTGTAAGGTTTCTTTTGAGAAATCAGCTGACAGTCTGATGGGAACTCCTTTGTAGGTTACTGTCCCCTTATCTCTTGCTGCTTCTAGGATTCTCTCCTTCATTTTTACCTTGGCTAATGTAATTATGATGTGCCTTGGTGTGTTTCTTCTTGGGTCCTGCTTCTTTTGGACTCTCTGAGCTTCCTGGACTTCCTGGAAGTCTATTTTCTTTGCCAGAATGGGGAAGTTCTCCTTCATTATTTGTTCAAATACGTTTTCAATCTGTTGCTCTACCTCTTCCCCTTTTGGTATCCCTATAATTCGGATGTTGGAATGTTTAAAGATGTCCTGGAGGTTCCTAAGCTTCTCCTCATTTTTTTTGAATTCTTATTTCTCCATTCTTTCCTGTTTGGTTGTTTCTTTCTTTCTTCTGGTCCACTCTATTGTTTTGAGTCCCAGTTTCCTTCCCATCACTATTGGTTCCCTGTGCATTTTCCTTCATTTCTTTTATGGTAACCTGCATTTGTTCATCTAATTTGTGACCAAAATCAACCAATTCTGTGAGCTTCCTGATCACCAGTGTTTTGAACTGTGCTTCTGATAGGTTAGCTATCTCTTAGTCGCTCAATAGGATGAGTTCTGGGGCACTGATTTGTTCTTCTGTTTGAGCCATCTCTCTCTCTCTCTCTCTCTCTCTCTCTCTCTCTATCTGGTTTGGTTGCTCCTGTTATGGTGAGGGGAGGAGCCTTAGGTGTTCACCAGGGCTGGGCAACCCAGTCGCTAGATTGTGATATACGTGAGTGGGTGGGGGTCGAGAGGGAAGAATGGCAGTATCTCTGCTCTTCGTGGGACCTCAGTCCCTTCTCTGGGATCCTGGGTTGCACACTCTGCCCTGCTCCACAAGAGCCGCCTCACTGGGTCTGCCAGCTGCCGCTTGCATACTCAGGGTCCACCCGCTGCGATCTTGTACACCCCAGATGCCTTGCGCACTCCCAGTTGCCTTATGCGCCCAGTTCTCCCTGTTCTCTGCACCTGGCTGCTAGTCTCCACCCCTCCTACCGGTCTGGATGAATGGGTCTATTTCAACTTCTTGGCTGTCTGACTTCCATTCAGATAAATTTTCTGTCAGTTCTGGGTGTTAATATGCCTCTAAATTGTTGTTGTGCCAATCTTGGTTGTGTGTGGAGGTACGGTGCATCCACCTATGCCTCCATCTTGGCTGGAAGTCCTGCTCTAGGTAAGTTGTTTTTTTTTTTTTTTTTAAATATTTTATTTATTTATTTTTTAGAGAGGGAAGGGAGGGAGATAGAGAGAGAGAGAAACATCAATGTGCGGTTGCTGGGGGTTATGGCCTGCAACCCAGGAATGTACCCTGGCTGGGAATCGAACCTGGGACACTTTGGTTCCCAGCCCGCGCTCCATCCACTGAGCTATGCCAGCCAGGGCGGTAAGTTTTTATTAAATAAAAAATGCAGTAAACTTTCCAGCTTTATTGGGATATTAGGGACATACAGCATTCTGCAAGTGTAAGGCATACAGTGGATTGAATGGATGCATTCATATATTGCAGTATACGACCACCTCAGCTTCAGCTAACAATACTGTTCAGAAGTCACATAACTGCCACTTACTTTTTTTTGTGGTGAGGACATTTCAGATACACTTTTTCCAGTATATGACACAGTTTTGTTAACTGTAATCACCAGGGTGTACGTGAGACTCCAGGAAGAGGTAATCTCATAACTGAAAGTGGATGCTCTATGACCAACTTCTCTCCTTTCCCCCAGTACCTGTGGTCACCACCATTCCACCCTCTGTTTTTACACGTTTGGATTTTATAGATTCCACATATATATGTGGTCATTCAGTATTGATTTTCCTCTGCCGTGGTCATTCAGTATTGATTTAACTCAGCCGTGATCTGGCTGAGTTAACAAAATGTCCTCAAGATCCATTCATGTTGTCTGAAATGGCAGTTTTTTTTCTTCATTTTTCTTGTTGACACTATTACAGATATCTCTTCACCCTGCCCCTCACCTTTGCCCACCTCCACCAAACCCTCAACCCCCTGTCCCTCTGGCCACGACTGTACCCCTATCTGTCTGTGGCTCATGCATGTGTGTGCTTTGGCTGATCCCTGCACCTACCTTCATCCAGCCTCCTCCTCCCTCACCTCTGCCTGCTCTCAGTCTGTGCCTTGTGTTCCCAGTTTGTTCTTCATTCTGGTGGTTGAGTAATATTCTGATATATATATATTTAGACTTTGGAAAATTCCACAAATCACATCATTATTAAAAAGGATTAGTTTTTCAGGTGGTACCACACTTGGCTGTCCCTTCAAACACTAAGTGAGGGCAGTTCTGGGGAAATGGCACACATGGCATCTGATGAAGACAGGAAGGATGGTGGGAATAGAGAGGGTGGTAGGCATCAGTTGTATTCATCTTTCAGGTTCCTATCTAATTTTGCCCATTTATTGATTGATTGGTTCTGGGTTAAGTCCTGTGAGCTTAGGTGAGGAAGATTCAACAATGTCCATCTGATCACCTAATGATTAGACATGAAGAATATTTCATTAGCCCTGGATGGTGTAGCTCAGTGGATTGAGCATGGGTTGTGAACCAAAGGGTCGCTGGTTTGATTCCCAGTCAGGGCACATGCCTGGTGTTGTGGACCAGGTCCCCAGTGGGGGGTCATGTGAGAGTTGACCACACACTGATGTTTTTCTCCCTCTCTTTCACCCTCCCTTCCCTTCTCTATAAATATAAATAAATAAAATATTAAAAATAATATTTTATTGCATAAAGTGGAAGACAGCACGAGGTTTTAGATGTGTGGGCTCAAACAGCCATGTGGGAAGGACCCTCATGGCACAGGGGAGAGAAAACAAGGGGGTCATTACAGAAAGTCAACAAGAAGGGAGAGAAACAGACATTTAATGGAGGAAGAGCCCTGCACAGGGAGCACTGAGACACTCCCTGCACCCAAACCTTGTTCTCTCCTCTGGACACATCAGCAGACAGTTTCCCCACCTGTGGTCCAGACTGTCTTCACCACCTCTTGGGTCATCAGAGGGGCTCCATGGCTCCCCCTCTCTGAACAGTGCCCTGTCCCCTCTGTGTTCACGTCCTGGCTGCAGTGTGGGTCTTCCTCTTGCTGTCTCAAGCCTCAAAGAGCAGCACCCCAAGGACCACCAGCACCAATCCGGCCAAGCACAAGCGGATGAGATTCCCCACTGTGTAGTCTTGGGGGTGGAAGATTAGGGAATATAGGCAAAAAGGTCACAGAGGACAGAGCAGACCAAAGTCACCCCAGAATCCAGGATGTCCACCCAGGACATCTGTCTCTGGCAGGACCAGACTCTCTGCACCCATCCCCACAACTGAGGGCTCTTTCACTCCCCACTCCTGGGATCTGACTTGTTCTGTGATGGGCTGACAGTGTTGGCTGCCCCTGAGGACCATGAAATTGGGGTGTGAGTGAGGACCTGGGGAGACACGAGCCTCCCTCCTGGGGTCTATGCTCCCCAATGCCCCTCTTCTCAGACTGTAACTTTCACAGGGTCATGTCATAAGCCCAGACTTGACTCTGCCAGGTTCCTGTCTCCTCCTTGGATCATCTCAGCCCCTTGTGGCCCCTGAACCAACACAGATTCACTTTGGACCAGAGTTTACTTGCCCTACAGCTCAGGATTAGTAATAAATGGTCACAGTAAGGAAGTGGTGTGTTCTGGGTTCCGTCTGAGAGACAGAGCCCAGAAGCTCATTCCCCTACAGCTGAGAGATCCACTAACTCAACAGCTGATGAACCAGGATCCATGGATTAGGGTTGGTGTCAGGGGCTTCAGAACATCCCCCTTTGTGGAGCTTTCTAAAGTCCACCATTTATTACTGTTTAAGACTCTGAAGAAACATAGCTCTCTGCTGAGTGAGCACAGAGAGGACAGGGTTCAGGCCACCTCACCTATGACCAGGGCTCCAGGATTCCCCATGGCTATGGGGAGGTGTGGTGTGAGCTGTAGCACCTGTAGGTCCCCGGAAGGGCTGAGGTCATGGGACACAGGAAGAATTGGTGGAGGAGGGAATGGACTGACACCTTCATGGACAAAGAAATGTGTCCCTCGGGCTCCGTGACTGACAGCAGGGTCACCTACTCTCCTAAGTTTACTGTAGGGCCAAGGTGGATTGAGAGAAAGGGTCTGTCAGGGAGCCACCTTGGTGACAGGTGAACTAGGGCTTTTCCTTCCTGCTGTATCAGGTCCCTTATGTCACCTAATGTCACCGCAGGCCTGTGAGCAGAGGGGACCAGGGATGAACAGACATGAACTTGACACTCAGAGAATAGAAGGGACCACCTGCACCCACAGTGGGAGCAGCAGAGCCAGAACCTGAACCAGGACTGACTCTATCCCTTGTTCCCTTCTCTGAGGTGAACACCTGAGCTTAATAAAGGGTCTCAACCTCAGACATTGTCCTGCCTGTCCCTCCCTGTAGTGTCACCATTAGTGCTGCAGAGGTGACAGTTCCCATGACATCACATCCTGCAGGGCTTCCCTGTGAGCCCCACTCCCAGGAGGTCAGAACCAAAACTGAAAGGAAATCTAAGCTCTGGGCCACGATTCTCTCCTTTTACACTTGGAGACACTGAGACACACAGAGGGGAAGGGTGTGTCCAAGTCAGAGCCTCCAGAAGTGCCTGAACTTGCACAGGACTCAGGCCCTGTCCCCATGGACACAGCCACCACCTCCCCACAGGGACCCTCACTTATTGATCTGCGGGCCTGACTGAGTTGGTGAGTGGCTGATCCTCAGAGCCGTCTAGAAATTCAGGATGGGGGCGAAGGGGGAGGGCTACCTTCCCCCAACTAGATTCATCTGCCCTTCCACCAGTCTGGACCCCTGATGTCCCTCTTTCATGCCCATTCCTCATGTCACTTGCCAGCCCCAGAGCCCTAGGGATCCTGTGGTTCAGGCATCTCTGCCTGACTCCCAGCCCCCGGGACACTAGCCCATCCCTGATTGTCTGGGGGACACAAGATCCCCTAGTGAACCCTTAGAATTTCCCTGGGCTGCCCTGTACTTCCTCTGGCCAAGTTCTCAGGGACTCACCAGCTATGGGGATGGGCCCTGTGGGTGGGGGTTGGGGGCCTCCATAGAGTCCTGAGAATGAGGGCAGAAGGAAGTGAGGGTCTGGAACAAACCTAGAGTTGGCAAATCACTCACATTCTTCTGCTACATCTGCTTATGGTACCTTAATGAAACTCCATCTGCCTACATAACCACTTTTTAAACCCAGGTGAAAGTGACTGGGAGGGTCTCTGTGGGCAGATCTCTGCTGACTGACCATCTCCCAGAGACCCCTCACTCTCATCCAACTTCAGACGTCTCCAGGGGACAGGATCTTGAGCTGATGTGCTCAGAGATGAAGGGGTCAGGGGCTCTCACCTGAGACCAGGAGCTCCAGGGAGTCACTGGGGTGAGACCACAGTAGGGGGCTGTCCCTGTAATAGCCATAGCATCTGAAAGTCCACCTGTGTCTGGGGGTCACAGGGCCCACAGAGAACAGGGCCTGGACCCACCCACTGGGGTGTTGCTGTGAGTCCAGGGTCCAGGAGAGCCTGTCTTCTCCTTCCTTAATCAGAATGAACCTTTCAAATCCCTTTGATGAGCCACACTGGAGGGTCACAGTCCCCCCTGACTTCACCACAGGGCTGGGCAGGGCTGAGAGGCTGGGTTTGCTGTAGTAGATTCCTAGGAGAGAAGGAGGCAGCATGTTAAATGGGACTCACATCTCCCTCATGTCTCCCAGGGCTGTTCTGTGAGGGGGAGACCCCGAAGAGCATCTTCCTTCCTGATGGCAGAGCCAGAGGCTGAGATCCCTGAGGGTCCTCTCACCTGTTAGCACCAGCTCCAGGGGGTCACTGCATTCTGACCAGCCAGTGGGGCTGAGGTATTTACAATAATATCTCTCTGCACGGGTATTTTTTATGAAGAACTTGGCCTTGTCCATGGGCCACAGTAGTTTCTGTGTGTCCAAGGAGCTATGACTTTTATCACTATACAGGCGGTACTCATCGGCCTTCAGGGTCCCCTGACACCAGATAGTCACAGGGCTCCCCCAGGGTATGGGAGTGCCTGGCTCAGCCCAGATGGTGGGTCTGGGGAGGGTCCCTGGAAAGATGCAGAAGCTGCATTAGGCGGACCTTCCCTGTTCCTCATTTCCCAGCTCAGCCCACATCCCTTCTCTTTTATCCCGGAACCTCTGTGCTCCCTTCTGGGCCCCAGGGGAGAAGTAGGAAGTGGGTCAGGGAGCTTGGGGAGGACTCACCATTCTGCTCACAGGTTTTCTGGCTTAGGCTCAGCCCTGGAAGAGAGTCCCTGTCAGATTTGCACCTGGATGTCAGAGCTGATTCCCTTAACTCGGGGCCGCATCTGCTCCAACTGCCTGAGCCTGAGGGTCCCCATAAACAAGTATGTGCAGCTGCCCCATCCCCTCCGGCTGCTCCATGCCCATGTCCCACAACTGACCGAGGCAGAGAAGAGCTGGGAGGATGGACATAGTGCCGTCTGCTCTGAGTGCTCCCGCTCTGCAGGTGGATGAGACCCTGGGCCTGGAGGACAGAGATGCACAGGATGTGGTGAGTCAGAGGCTGCAGCCACCCTTCTGGGTTCCCACCCCTGTAGACCCACAGCAAGGGGATGGCCCCGCCCTGGGCCTGGCTCTGGGTTTTTCCATGACGAGGGCTCAGGAGGATTCCTCACCTTCTGGAGGTGCTGAGCCCAGATCTGGGGTCTCTTCTTACTTCTAGGACCCTCTGCCTGGTCTTTGCTTCTGTCAGAGAGGGTGGGACCCAGGCTCTGGTCCTTTGTCCACCTTCCACAGGCTGACCCTTAATAGAACTCAATACTCATTGTCTCAGCCTCCAAAAAACAGCATTTACTTTTTATCTCTGACTTGTCCATAGAGAAATATTTACTAATCAGCTAGTGCTGCCACATACTTGTGTTAGAACCGGAAATACATCCGTAATCCAGGAGACTGACTTTCTGTATCTTGAGAACTCTTCTCAGCAGAAAATGAGCATTCTATGTCTAAAGCAGAAATGACTTTACTTACAAAGGAGAAATGAGGGGAAATATGAGAACACCTCGGACCATGACTAGGCTAGTTGAGGGAAGAGCTGTTTTTCTTTTATCCTCATCAAAGAATATGTTTGTTGATTTTATAGAATAAGGAAGGGAGAGACAGAGAAACAGACATTGATAAGAGGGAGAAACATTGATCAGTTGCCCCTCCCCCATACATTTCCTGACTGGGGATCATACTCACAGCCTTTTGGTGAATGGGACAACACTCCAAGCAAGTAAGCCACTGGGCCAGGGCTGAGGGAAGGGCTATTGAATGAAGTGGAACCCTAGGAGGTGGGAGTGAGAATACTCTTGAGAGGAAAGAATATCATAGGGAAATCTAGAGACAGACACTGTCTGATAGCAGTAAGGGAGGGCAAGGTGGTGGCTGGTCATGGGAATGCTCTATGGCACCCAAAGATGTTGGATTAAGTGTGTGAGGCAGAGGAATATGCAGGGATTAGCTGTTACAGTCACACTGGTTTGTGAATCTCACAGGTGCCGTGTGTTACAGAGGACCTAGAGCAGTTCAATGTGTGTATGTGACGTGTAATGTGAACAGTAATTGAACTCCATCCTGTGTGTCCAACAATATTAGATGAAAGGCTTACATGGATTCACCGCACAATTCATGTATATATTTTAGCTGTCACAACACATGTAGAAAAGAGAAATGAGGAGAAGTAATCTCAGTGTTGCTTCTAATCCTGTGCTTTTAGCTGGGGACTGGGAAAGGAATCTGCTAGTTTTATAGAACTCTAAGAAAGCAGATACAAAGGAGAACAGATATGGTCCATAGGAGATGGTGTCAGTGTGTTTGTGTGTGCATGTGTGTATGTCTGTGAGTGTATATGTGTGAGTGGGTATCAGTGATATTTATATATGTATGAGTGTATATATGTGGGTGTGTGACTGTGTGTTCACAGAGTAACTGCACCTGTCTGGTTGACAGAACCAGAAGTGGGAGCTGAGGATGGAGGGTTACAGATGGATGGTCACGAACAGGTGTGAGTTCAGAAGAAAGACTCTAAATTTACCCTAAAACAGTGAGGACCATGGATGGATTTTGAGCAGATGGGCAGATTCTGAAAAGGAGGTGGAAAGACTGATAAGGTGGGTGAACTGCAGAAGAGAGTGAGGACTTAGAGCTCAGAACCCAGGCAGGTGGTGGATGTGGCCACTGCAGTGAGTATATGAAGGGTGACCTTACCTCTCCGCCTCATTGACTGCAGACCCCAAGGACCCCTCATGACAGAGAGCCAGGGAGAGGGGCAGGGATGAGCCTGGAGTCTGTGCAAACACTCTGCTCCTGCAGGAGAGCTCAGTGCTCCCTCCTGGACCTGGGACGCAGGGGCTGCATCTCACACTGTTTCCACCTGACTGTGTCTCTGTGAGACATAGGCTCTTTCTCTCTCTCTGTTCTTGGGGTGAATCATTTGGTTCATTTCTGCTTCTTCAGAGCACCTTTGATGCTGGGGTTCACTCTCCTCTTCAACCTCTGGAGAGTCTTCAGTATTCAGACAAGATAATATTCATGAGTGTTTTTATTAAAAGGCAGTAAAGACACACACACACACACACACACACACACACACACTCTTTCAATATCAGTTGCTGCAATACCACATCCTGAATGGCTGAAGGAATCTTCAGCAGCCTGCTTCCTCATTTGCTCTCACTTCCTTCATGGGTTGCCCAGTGATACCAGCCCTACCTCCACAAGTGAGGTCAGAATTCACCGTATTTGAGATGTGGGGGAAAGGAAACTAGACATTCAGATCTACATGGAGACGTCGGAGGTTTGAGAAACTGAAAAGGAGAGATACCTCATCCAGTGAAGGAAGGATCGGACTCAGACCACACTGCAGGGTCACGTGATCACAACAGAGACCCTCGCAGTGCAGGGAGCAAACTGTAGATGTCTGACCACGTGGTGCAGGGCCAGCTGGGGGAGTCTGGGGAACACGACTGACTTCATACCTGCCTCACTCCATTAACCTTTCTTCTTTACCTCCAACCCTGACATGTTGAGCTGCACTTACAGCTAAAACGTATACATTGCTCATTAACTACTCTGGAAAACTTACTGAAGCTAATGCCTTCCAGTCTGTTTGCAGCCTGCCAGACACCTTCCCAGGGGCCAGATATCCAGGAGGTAAGAGGAGGGAAGACACGGTTTTGTGAGGGGCATCCCACCCATCCAGGCCCAGCCTGTTCTCTAAAGAAATAAAGCTGCAGGGGGGTTCCTGCACTGGAGCCAGGCGGAGGTGGAACCAGGGCACCCCAGTAATATTTTTACCACAGTGTCACTGTGTTTTCAAGGCATTGTAAGGGGTCCATTCATGGTCCCCCACCCACTGCAGCCTAGGGTGCCAGGATCTGGGTCAAAGAAGGGGGTGACAGTGTCTCACAGCAATGTCCATTTTCCAGGCTTGGTATCCTAAAGCATCAGCTCAGGGCCTCCATACCCACATGGTCCCCTGGTCAGAGAGCCATGCTCTCCCACGACCATCTGCCTGGTTGTGCTTGGACTCACACCCTGATTCCCCACACACTTGTGTTCATAAACACAGACAGCAACCCAGACACACTCACCCCCACACCCAAGCCTGCACCCATGTCCAGGAAACAGCAAGTTCCCCTTTTCCATGGTATGGACATTAGAATAACAACAGTGGGGTTTGTGGACAGTTGTCTCTGTGGGCTTTCCTGTGTGAGTGCGCAGAGAGCAAACCATGGTGACTTTATAAGGGACACTGCCATTTTTGAAAATGTCACTCATCATTGACAAGGTACTGGAGTGCACACTGTCAGGGACAGTAAGTTTCCATAACGACCTGTGACGATGAAATTACTCAAGCCCCAGAATCGTGTGCACTTTCCTCAAGTTTCATACAACACATGGGTGAGCAGGGCCTGTCACCCAAGCTGGGATGCATTTCCAGGTCATGGGGTGCTTGGTCCTAAGCTCAGGGCTCTGGTCAGCCCCCAAACACAAGCCATGTTGTTTCTGGACAGGGTGCACTCAGTGAGTTTGTTCAAATGCTCTTTTACAACAAAGGAAGGGAAAAGAAAAGATGTTAAGATTACCCACATCTTCCTAGAACAGTTACAGGTCTCAAATACCTTTTCTAGAAAATAGGCAAATAAACCAACAAAAAAGGGAAATGTGGTCAAAGTAAAGCAGTGTCATGACTTAGAAGAGATGGGTAGAGGGGTCAGCAAGACTCTGTCTCCAGGCAGCTAGTAATAAACTTGCCCCTGTCAGCGTGGTCCAGTCCCCATGGAACATTTTAAAGGGTTTTTGTTCTACAGACTTTTGGCGCATCTGGTAACCCTGCTTTGGGCTGAAACATGCTGGAGGCACCATGGCCATGATGACCTTTGCTCTACTCAGGGTCCCACAGACCCCCAGTGGATCCACCACAAGGGTTCACAGTCAGAGCTGTGCCAGGATCACAGCATCCGAGAGAGTTGTCCTGCTCCTGCTTCACGCCCCTCGTGGTCCAGCATGATGGAGCATGGAGAGCCAGCACCTAGCAGTCAGCCTGCTGGGCATGTGAGTGTGGTGGCACAGAGCCTCTGGGGACAAGAGTGACTGAGACCATGAGATAGTGACCCTGGAGTGAAAGTGACGTTGACACAGAAATGCTCAAGAAATCTAGGAATGTGTCTGTTGGAGGAATAGCATGTTCTAACTCCAAGAGCTGAGTAGTCCCTTTATTGTAGGTGGTAGTTTGTGGGTTATTTCTGTAAATGCTGATTCAATTAGGAAGTAAAGGAATGAAGGGTAAGAAGGGGAGGTCTACAGAAGTCAATGTTCTCAGGTGCATTGTGTGCTAAGAACAGATGTTTGGTTTTTCTCCATCAGACAGTGGTTACCAAAAAAATGTGCAAGCAGCAGGTGGTAGTCTCAAATTTTGGATAAAACTGTATATGACAGAAATTTTCATGAATTTAGGATGTGATAAGATATTCCAAGAGCTCTAGCTGGTGTGCATTGAGTGCTGGCTGTGAACCAAAGGGTCGCTAGCTCGATTCCCAGTCAGGGCACATGCGTGGGTTGTGGGCCAGGTCCCCAGTAGGGGGCACTCAAGAGGCAACCACAGATTGATGTTTCTCTCCCTTCCCCTCTGTCTAAAAATAAATGAATAAAATCTTTTAAAAAAAAAGGCATTCTAGGACGTTCAGCTTGTTGCTCACATTTCACTAGAGATGGTCATCTCATAACAGATATTCAGTATGACCATTTCCTGGAGGTCTGTTGCATCAGACTGAGACCCATGAGAATGTGGACTCTTTCTGGGCATCATCCATCTACAACAGCTATCACCCACTGCAAAGATGACAACTCGTGTAGTTGCACTGTGGGACGTGGCATTCCACAGCAATGTGGATGTGTAGCTGCTGAGGACTTGAGTTCAGGCTAGTGTCACTGGGTAACTAAGGTTAGAAATTTATTTAATCTAGGTGTTTA